CAATTGTTACTTTAAAAGCATTTTTAAATTTTTTTTGCTTGCAATATGACACTATATGTTACAATTTATATCTTACAATTGTAAGATATGACTACTTAAAACAAAGTTGTGACATTCATGTAATTGCAACTTTCATAATTGGAGTTTTCGTCTCACAATTGTGACTTTTTCTCACAATTGCGACTTTATATTACACAATTGTGTGTTTTTTTTTTTTTTTGCGTAACAGTTTTGACTTTTTCCCTCATAATTGCAACTGTCAAAATTGGTTCATAATTGACTCTTACAATTACAGGTTTTTCCAACTTCATCTCAATTTTCTTGTTATTGTAACTTTATTTCCCCTTCTAGGGAACTTGCGCTGCATCCTCTAGCGGACACTATGGGGACTGCTGCCAGCAGGACCGGTGTCTAAAGCACGTGTGAAACAACTCCAATCCTGTTGGCCCACATAGCCCGTGACGTCACAGGCGCGCACCCGGAAGAATAAGAGGGCGCCAGCAGAACACGTCACCAACTTTTGTTGTCTTCAGGAGCTGTCTATTGGTTTAGCGTCTGTGAAATATTATCCTGGTGAGGCGAGCAGCGCTTTTAGAAGTGTGTGCCTCCGTGTTCCTATTCTCGAGAGATGCAGGACAAAGCTTTTGTGTCTCGCAGCTCGGTCAGCCCTCTCAAGTAAGCGCTGAGTCCTTGCCTTGGAAGATAGCTATCCGAGGATAGCCGTGTTTCAGCTCAGTACTGCCCCCCTGTCATGGTTCATAATTGACTCTTACAATTACAGGTTTTTCCAACTTCATCTCAATTTTCTTGTTATTGTAACTTTATTTCCCCTTCTAGGGAACTTGCGCTGCATCCTCTAGCGGACACTATGGGGACTGCTGCCAGCAGGACCGGTGTCTAAAGCACGTGTGAAACAACTCCAATCCTGTTGGCCCACATAGCCCGTGACGTCACAGGCGCGCACCCGGAAGAATAAGAGGGCGCCAGCAGAACACGTCACCAACTTTTGTTGTCTTCAGGAGCTGTCTATTTGTTTAGCGTCTGTGAAATATTATCCTGGTGAGGCGAGCAGCGCTTTTAGAAGTGTGTGCCTCCGTGTTCCTATTCCCGAGAGATGCAGGACAAAGCTTTTGTGTCTCGCAGCTCGGTCAGCCCTCTCAAGTAGGCGCTGAGTCCTTGCCTTGGAAGATAGCTATCCGAGGATAGCCGTGTTTCAGCTCAGTACTGCCCCCCTGTCAGGGTTTTAAAGGGGTCCTATTATGCTCTTTTACAAAGTCTTGATTTTGTTTTCCCGGAAAACAAATGCTGTAGTCCAAACGAGCCGTTCGTTGTAGTTCTTGAAAAGGGATTTTTAAAAAACGAAATATCTCCCTTTGGAGTGGACTTTGAGATTTGTAACTTTCTAGATCTTTTTTATGCCCAAACATACACACTACACACTGACTAAAATTAAAAAAGTGAAAAAGCATAATAGGACCCCTTTAAGTAGCCGTCTTTGAGCCTCTTGCCTGTATTGTGTTATCTCCCCTATTAGGGTTTTAAGTAGATAGCCCACTTTCCGTGGTCTGGGCAATCTTCAGCCTTGCCTGAGGAAACTGCTATTCAAGTATAGCTGTGTTCCAGCTAGGCGACTACTCCCCTTATTAGGGTATTTGGTAACACATTTCAGAATAATGGTCCTTTGTTAACAAGTAACTATGCAGGAAGTAATAGGTAGTACTACATTAACACTTAACTTAATACTATTAACTAATAGAGAAGCGAGATTAACTAAGCAGTAAGCAGTAGCAAATTTAGGACAAAGGTAGTTCCTTATTAGATATTTGATAATTATTAAATAAAAATATCCTCATTGAGAACTACTTGCAAACTATGACCAGTTAATAAAGAATAACCAATTAATAACTAATCACACCAGTAACGTCTTAAAAGTGAACAATTGGGTTCTTTGTGGAAACTAATTTATGAATTTGATATCCCCCAAATAAGTCGGCTACA